ATTGTGTCTGCCCTCAAAATCGATTAGAGTTCTTCGGCTAGCCCCGCCTTCTCTATGAGACTCCATAGGCTAGCTTTCAGATCTCCTGTGTATCTCTGGGCTCCTGGTTTTTCCTCACCCAGCGTAAGGAACCTTAGTCTTGACAAGCCCTCACAGTGGCAAAGTATGTGTACTGCTGTTTCTTCCTCTTCTTGACAGAACCTGCACAGCAGTTCTTCAGTCAGACCTATCGTACTCATGTGTTTGTTGAGCCTACAATGCCCTGTGAGAAGTCCCACTAGTATTCTAGTTGAACTTCGTTTCTGGCTTAGTAGATATTCTGTGAATGTTGGCGATGGTTTTTTAATAAACTCTTTAGCCTGTCTCATTCCTGTCGAGTTGTTCCACCATTATCAAAACTCCTTCATCCATAGAACGGCTGGGCTCTGGAATTCATTGCCTGAGGAAGTATTCCCAACAACATATAATCTCCAGAAGTTCAAAAAAATTCCAATACCTACCTCCTATCCCTATCCTCCCTAGGAACGCACGATGTTCTTTGAACATTATAGGGATTCCCTCTCGTGCGCTCCAAGCGATAAAAAAAATTCTTGAGATTTTGTTTGCATCCATGATTTGATACTAGTCTTTTGTATAGCTTTCGCAATACCACAGAAGGGTTCTGGGCCATTAAGAGCTTTGTTTGCTCCTGCTCGGGCAAGTGAGTCTGCCTCTTCATAGCCCTCGTACCCTGTATGTGCTGGTACCCATGCGAGAGTCAATCTGTTCTGACTGCCCAGTGCATTTAGGGTTTCTAAGCAGTCCCATACTAGTTTTGAGTTAACTTGCATAGAGTTGACTGCTTTGATTGCCGCCTGGCTATCTGAATAGATTGCAATGGTTTTTCCTTTAAACTCTTGCCTTATCAATTCTTTCACGCAATGATGTATTGCAATAATTTCTGCCTGAAACACCGTCGCGTATTTGCCTAAGCTGAGTGAGATTCTTGTCTTTGGCTTGGCCCCATAAATACCAGCTCCTGATCCTTCATCAGTTTTGGAGCCGTCCGTATAGACAGCAATGTCTGCATTGATAGGAGGTCCTTCCTTCCATGCCTCTCTGTCCGTTATACTTATTTTAAAAGTTTTTTCAAAGCGTTGACAGTAACTGCGACGCCTTCTTCATTTTCGAAAAAATAAGGACCGATTATTCCGCCGGACCATAGTGCACACCATACGGTTACTTTTTCAGAATGAAGTGGAACTTGGTGAATCTCCCGCGGGTTTTCGTCGCTCCAAATTCGGCAGTTTTGGTTGTTGACGAAGCCACTTGACCAAAAATGTGCCTCGTCACTAAAGATTATTTTATTCGCAAAATCGCGGTCACCCTCCAACTGTTCTAGCACCCAGGCAGCGAATTCACGCCGATGCCTATGAACGTTGGGCTTTAATTCCTGCGTGATTTGCACCTTATATGGGTGAAGCGATAAGTCGTGATGCAGGATTCGCCAGGTTGACATCCGCGAAAGTCCAAGTTCTTGAGCACGACGCGGAATAGAGTGTCGTGGATTCTCATGCACACTTGCTCGGACGGCCGCAATATTTTCAACGGATCTTACTCTTCGCTGGCGTACAGGAGTTCTTTGATCTGCCACTGAACCAGTTCCTTCAAATTTGTTCATTAAACTGCGAATTGAGGACTCTGCAGGACGATCATTAGCACCATAAATTGCGCGAAGTGCGCGGAACGTTTGCCGAACGGAACATTGGTTTTGGTAATAAATTTTGACGATTTCGACACGTTGTTGAATTGTGTAACGCTCCATAATAAATGTTGAAGCTAACTGAATATTCCTGCCAAAGATAACGCCTGTGTGACTTTCGACCTTGTAATGCGTTATTGCCAAAGATCGAGCGTTCTTATTGGGAAACCCGTACCTTAAGGTTACCTCATAGTATAGTATTAGGGTGCGGGGGTGTGCGGAGAGGGGGGACGATCTGTGACGTCACTGTTTCCCCGCCGTGTGATTGTAGATTTCGTATTTTGTCACTGTCAAATGGTTTGAAAAAAAGGTTGAATTTGAATTCGAAAGATTAGCGAATTTTAGACTTTAGTTGAAAACGTGGTTACAAGAAGACTGAAGATACCTTTGAAAGAGGGCGAGAGGCTGTTTAATAATATGGTGTATTATTCAAAGCTGTGTGGTGTCAAGAGTGGATATAGAACAAACAAATGTTATAAAAAGCCTGTGTTTACAATCATCTGCTCTTGGGCAGCCTCCACATGAGAATCAAATAATTCCAAAGGAAAGTGATGAGCTGTGGAAATGTGAATGTTCCTGTGAAGCAGGCATGTCATGGTTTTGTAAACACATTTTATAGGGACTTATATTGACAGGTAGGAAGGTGCACTTTTGATCAATCACACACAGGTGAAAAATATATGAAATTTCAGGAATGAAGACTTAGAATATGTGAAGCTGCATATATAACACACACACAGAAGTGGTGAAAAGAAAAAAAGAGAGTAGATCAATCAAAGATCTATTATACAGCAAAACCATTTCAGTAGTTCTGCTATCAACTCATTAAAAGAAGGAAAGTGACCCCCTAACGAACAGTACCTACCTACATGCAGGGTCAAGTAATAAGGATGGAAATCAATGGGAAAATCATTCTCCTTTTATATAATTCAAGTTAATTTTACAGGGTATATCAGACTCTTTCGTTTTTTGTTGTACCTACATGCAGGGTCAAGTAATAAGGATGGAAATCAATGGGAAAATCATTCTCCTTTTATATAATTCAAGTTAATTTTACAGGGTATATCAGACTCTTTCGTTTTTTGTTTCGAAGCCAATGAATTCAATGTAAACAACTATGGTACAGGGTGATTCGCCATAGATGTCCCCCCCCTCTAGCTCAGTTATTTTTGAACCGATTACAAAATTTTGAATATCATCTGAAATGATTTTCGATAGAGTTTTTTTCCGCTACATCAGAAAATACAAGATGCTCGGAACAAACGATCTACAGGGTACTATTTGATTTTTTCAAATGAATACCCTATTTTTCATTGTATTTTTAGATTCTCCCTGAAGAGCTGGGGTCTAGCGAAAATGATTACAGAGATATAGGGTGTTCAAAATCGGGATTTTTCTGTGACGAAACTATTCATTATCCGTCAAAACGGCTTTCATGTCCGTATCTTAACTTTTGATTTACTATCTACTGACATTTAATAATTGGAACAGATACAAGGTGATCAGAATTCTGAATCTTGAACCACACTGTATTTGTTCCAATTAAATGTCAGTAGATAGTAAATCAAAAGTTGAGATGGAGATATTGAAGCCGTTTTGACCAATAATGAATAAAAAAATTCTAAAGTTGAAAAATCTCGATTTTGAACACCCTACATCACTGTAATCATTCCCGCTAGTGATATATTGATGAAATCAGCTCTTCAGGAAGAACCTAAAAAATACAATGAAATACAGGGTGTTCCATTTGAAAAAACCAAGTAGCACTCTGTAGATCGTTTGTTCCGAGCACCCTGTATTTTCTGATGCAACGGGAAAAAAAAATTCTTTTGAAATTTTCAAATCGGTTAAAAAATAAGTGAGCTAGAGGGGGGACATTTATGGTGAATCACCCTGTACTCATGAACACTTGTGAGTTTATTAAATTTTAACATACCAGCATGAAACTGTATAATTACATTAATTTTGAATTATTTTAGGCTATACTTGCTACTTCATTTTCACATGTAGCAAGGAGTCTTGGGAAAAAAGGCAATCAACTTCTTCTTTCCAAAGGATTTTACAAATAAATTTGTTCAGCTTGGAGTTGAATTTCAAATCATGCAAACAAATTTGTGTCCCAATATTTTCCATGGTTAGGATTTTCTCCATATGAAATTATTTTTCAGGAAGGTAGAAATAATTAAAATAGTGTCCTTACTGAGGTTCTTACATAGAGGTTTGTTAAATAATGTGTATAACATTCAGCTTGAATTATTTTCTCAAATTTTCAGGTAAAGAAAATGGTTCAGAACATTTTGTGGAACAATGCCATTTCTTGATGGGAGATGGTATGAAAAATGTGAAGTTGGAAGAGAAACACACTTATTATGGATAAATTCAGTTGGGGATAATGGCCCTAAAATGTCCCTAATGAACTTGAAAGAAACTAATTTTCTTGTATAATTCTTCTTTCTCCAAAACTTACATAGAAATTTCAGTTAATTTTATGAAACATTTTGTGTTAATCTTATAAGGAAGATATCTTAAAGATATTTCCATTATGTTGCACTTTTATTGCATTAATAAAATGGAATGAATTGTGATAATGACTTCTTTATTGATTCATTTTCTTATTATTTCATTTTCAAACAATAATATCTTCCAAATTGATACTGAAATAAAACCATTGAGTTAGAATCATTCAATTTATCCAGAAGGAAATCCTCTTTAGTTAATTGTTTTTTCTTTCTCAGAAATGATGGCCTTATCAATTTCAAGAATGTTTCTTTACATCCCTTGTCAGCATGCCCTTATCCACCATGATTCCATCATTAGGTACAGACTTCCCAATAACATTTTCTTTATTGAAAAATGCTTTTTCAGTAGCTCAACCTCCATATCCTTAAATGCCAACAGTAATCAGTCCTGATGGAGTGATATTGCAATAAGAATTTGACTGAGTTTTTGTAATGTGTCTGTACAACAGGAGCACTGAGGAACAGAACATATCTTTCTAGATTTCTGTTTTCAGTCTTTTGTACTTGCTGCATGTTTTGGGAAAACAGTAAACCATCTCATGAATACAAAAACATATTGGAAAACTTCAAAATTTATTAAAATTCACTGGATTGCACAATGCTAAATTTGTTTGTTTTGTTTATCACCTCCGCCATTTTCATTTTGCCGCTCGACAAAAGACGACTGGGGAAACAGTGACGTCAGGCCAGGAGAATATGAGGCAACCTTATAGAGTTAAATAGCCTTGACCCGTACCTACCTGCCGTAGCAGCGCTCGTCGGCCGAGCACCAGCCGCACTCGGGGTCGGCGGAGCACTCGGCGTAGTGCCGGTGGCGGCCGCACGCCGCCTCCGGGTCGTAGGGCTCGCGGTTGCGCGCGGCGACCATCGGGGGCAGCGTGTAAGCGAGCAGGTCGCCGTTGACGTTGCCATGGTAACCGCCCACTAGGAGGAGGGTGTTGTCGGTGCGGGAAGCGGACGCGTGCGCGAACACACCTGGAAGCGGAGGATTAGCGTAAGAAAGCTATTATCATTCATTAGAATATCCAATCAATTCTGAACTGGTTAAAATTACATCGCACAGTATATTTCACAGTTTATCGAAATCGAGAGCTGAACCAAAATAGTATATTACACATCGAGGTGGGAAGTGATTCATTCCTGTCGTGAGAAGAGTTAGTTAACCGAGACGCAAAGCGTCGGGGTTAGCTATAATCTCGAGACAGGAATGAAACTTCCTACCGAGTTTTGTATACTATTTTATTTACAACCATCATATTTCCATCAAAATTAATAAATCTCTGTTTTGTTCAGAACATATCTGAAATATTACATAATTGAGGGCGGGAAGTAGAGGTGTGTAATATGACATTCCCAACCTTCAACTAGTAATGAGAAAATTACATACACCGTGTCCCAGCTAAAATGTTCCCCCCTATAAAAAATCAACCGTGCGATCGAATGACTTGAAATTTGGTCATCCAGTATATTTGATGATGATCACTCAAAATATGCTATTGAATACATCGTCGGTATACAGGGTCAAACTGAAGTGCACCTAAACTTTCCTGTTTGAATAGGAACACCCAGTATGTTATTCCATATTCAAGTAGAGTTCATTATTACAAATTCAACAATGCCGGGTTTGATGAAGTTTTTTCAAACGACTACGAAGATATGGCAAAAAATAAAACGATTCAATAAAAAATTTATATGATTAGATTTTATTAATATAACACGATTGAAAATCAAATGGAAAGGACATGATTTAAACCTCAACTGCTCGATGGTAATAGCAACTGGCCAGCTCAGTCGCCAGACCTCATCCCCCTTGAGATTTTTATTTGTGGGGCTATTTGAAACAACAGGTTTATGAGTCACCAATTGTGAATATGGAAGCAATGAAAGGAAAATCACAAATTAATGCGCACAAATTGGTCACAATGAACGTTATCAAAAGAGCTAGGAAATGTTTACAGAAGAATGGACGACATATTGAGCAGTTGAGGTTTTAATTATTTTCTTTTCATTCGATTTCAATCATGTTATATTAATAAAATTTAATCATCTAAATGTTTTATTGAATCGTTTTATTTTTTGCCATGGCTTCATAGTCGTTTGAAAAAAATCCCATCAAACCCGGCAGCGATTTTACTAAATATAAACTATTGCAGCACAAGACACGCCCACCATAATACGTCATATCTCATACTGTGCTCCAACGCAAGAACTGAAGCTTTTTCGTTGTCAATCTCTTGTACGCAGTAAATTCATACACCCAAATGGTCTACTGGTTAGCGCTGTCGACTCTCAGTCTGAAGGTTCATGGTTCGAATCGCTGTGAACTCGAACTTTTTTTTGCAACTTTTTTTTTTCACCAATGTTTTTTTACTTCATTCTGGTTTTCCTTTTTCATAAAATATTTGAAGTCAAATAGGTTAGTGCGTTTAGGATAAACAGTCTCATTTTATTCAATTTTGTTGAAGAACTCAACTTTTGAAATATATTATTAATCAATGTGTTTCTACACTCCATTCGGTTTTCCTTCCTCAAAAATATTGCAATCAGGGATAGGTTAGTTCGTTGAGGATAAATAGTCTCTGAGTTTTGCCTAAGTAAAGTACTTTGAAGATGAGATATAACGTGGTATGTGCTACTTTTTCAATCGATTTATTTATATGAATCAGCTAAGTTGTGCTGTCAAAGATTAGATTTTGCAGGATTGTGCTGGGCTCGATTATATTTTGCAATGCCGTAGTAGGGGGCGTGTCTTGTGCTGCAATAGTTTATATTTAGTAAAATCGCAACCCGGCATTGTTGAATTTGTAATAATGAACTCTACTTGAATATGGAATAATATACTGGCTGTCCCTATTCAAATAGGAGAGTTTAGGTACACTTCGTTGTGACCCTGTATACCTACGATTAATTCAATAGCATATTTCGAGTGAGCATCATCAAATATACTGGGTGACCAAATTTCAAGTCATTCGATCGCGCGGTTGATTTTTTACAGGGGGGGGACATTTTAGCTGGGACACGGTGTATATGGTGGTAAATAATAGTATATTACACACCGAGATGGGAAGTGATTCATTCCTGTCATGAGATTAGTTAGTTAACCGCGACGCAAAGCGTCGAGGTTAGCTATAATCTCGAGACAGGAATGAAACTCCCTACTGAGGTTTGTATACTATTTTATTTACAACCATCATATTTCAATCAAAATATCTATGTTTTGTTCTGAACATACATGAATTATTACATGAGTGAGGGCGGGAAGTAGAGGTGTGTAATGTGACACTTCCCAACCTTCAATGACATTAGTAATGACAACATTACATATATGGTTGTAAATAATAGAATTTTCTCTTTTGCCAAAAACCTCTCTTTCTTTTCTCCATTTATTCATTATTTTCTAGCCTCTTTTCTTTCTCCCTTGACAACCCCTTCAATCCCTTTCTGATACAGAGTATTCATTCTGAGAAACTAACAGACCATTGCAAACTGGTGAATGGATTCTTGATTTGTTTTTCTTTTTGATTGGAATATCTATGGATTTTTTGTTCAGAGGTTTCATCTGTAGATTTGGGACTTCCTGAATTAGTGCTGTTGGTCTATTGGGGCACTTGAAAGACCATGCTGGATAATTTTCTGAGCCGCAACTAGTGCATTTTTGGGCAAGGACTGAAGTGCATCTGTTGAGATCATGTGGTCCTAGACACTTAGGGCATTTAGGAGTGTTGTTGCAAAATTCGGTGGGGTGTGAAAATTCTGAACATTTGGCTTAGGACTTGGGGGTGGGTTTGCTGGGGGACACTCTTTGAGAAGTGTTTCAAAGGTATGTATTGAGCTGGTGGGATCGTTGGTTGCTCTAGATATTATTCTTTAGCAGAAACTCTGTTCCAGATGTATTCTATTGAGGTGTTTGCTTATGTCTTTGTCTTTGATTTCTTGTTAAATTTGGGCTATGACTACTGACTAACTGTGGGTGCTTGTTGGTGATTGAGGTTTGGTGTTAGGGGCTGTTTCTTTGAAAATAATCATTCTTTTAAAGGCTACTAATTTTTTGAAGTGTTTCAATTATTTTTGTTTTATTCTCATTTGTTTTTAATAAGAATCCTATTTTTGTTTCGATTATTTCATTGACTGCATTTGGATATAGTTTTTCCCAGGTGTTAACTAAAGTCATTCTAGATAATCTTGTATCTGCTGTTAATTGAAATAAGTGTAATTGTCCTTTTTTATGTTTTTGTTAAGATATTTAATTATTGATGTAGAAGGGTTTTTGATGATTTTGGTTTTCATGGGATTATTACTTTTTGTAGCCTCAGGTGTTTTGGTGGGCATTGTTAAAACATTAGTACTGTATCTCTCTTCCAAAATTATGGTGTTTATTTCATCTTGGAAGGGGTTTGTTTTTCTTAGCAGTGTTATCTAATTGGTTAGATTATTTTTGTGGGTAACTCTGTTCCACAATCCATCATCTGCCATTTTCGTTTCACTGTAGTTACCTCTCAAATAAACATGTACTAAATTCAAATAGGATTATTGTTGTCCTGATTTTTTTTGAATGTGAAATTGTTTGACTTATCATGAGTATATCTAAATGATCAGTAAACCATCAGTAACCCACAAATAAATATGTGGGTTACTGAATCAGAAAAGAAAAATGATTTTATAAGATTAGTTTTTTTAATGAGTCAAAAAACCAGTATTCAGATGATTATTATGAAATTCAGTACATTTCCATTTGAGAGGGGCATTAATACAGTGATGAATTCATTTTTGCTCTTAAATGATGGTACTCTTTCATCATGTGATGATAGATAAAAATATCAGGGAAGCCCTTTTTCAAATGTATTATAACAAACTTATCCATACTACCTCTTATAGTTCTAATACTATTAATAGGTTATAGCAATGTGTACTCTGATATGGGTTATCCTTATTTTTAAATGATATTAATAAATAAGAACACAACATGCATGAAAACATTATGATCTTAATCATATTCTTAGAAAACAGATAGACCCACCTTGTTGTTTAGGATATCTAGAATCATTAGTCTTCCCAAGAATATCAGGATTCACCCATGTATGACATCCCAAGTGGTATAAATACATCTGATTATCATAGCAAATCTCTTCTTTATTATGCCTATGAGAATAACCTCCAAACACAACCAAGTAATTACCAAAAATATTGGCAGTATGGAAGGCACGTTCCCTAGGAACAAACTTTTCTCTGAGATACTCTCTGGTATAGTGAATTTCAGTCCAATGGCGATTGTCAAGTTGAAAGACAAACATCCTATCAGATAGCTTGGAAAATCTTGCTACTCCAGGTACAATACCACCATACACAATTAAGGAATTAGTGGATTGGTAAAAAACTGTACTATGAGCCACTACTCGGACATCTAACTGCTTTCCACCTCTTGGTTTGATCTCCTGCCAGTTTTCATCAAAATCTGGAGAAAGCTGTATGCTATATAGAGATGATGAAAATTCACCATTCTCAGTACTACCTCCGAACAAATATATAACATTATTGGCACATGTTAAAGAGTGTCTGGTCAACCTTGGAGGTTGTACATCAGAAAGTCTTGCCCTCAACTGCCAAAACCTTGTTTGGACATCATAGTACCACAAGTCATTGGCCAAACTCCCATTATGTAGTTTACCTCCATATAAAACAAAGCCTTTAGAAACAGCACAAGCTGAATGGCCATATCTGGGTGATGGCCTATGGTCCTCTGTTACTCTAGAATGACGCTGTCTTCTCCTGGTGAATGTTGTATTTTCACTCACAGTGTAAAGAAGATTCCTCAGGAAGGATGTCTTGCTGTTTATGCCCCACTTCTGTTCCCAGTCAGGTCCAGCATGTTCTATCAATTTGGCAATGGAACTTGGTTCTATAGAACTCATCAGACCTTTATCTGGGAGTACATCACCATTCTCATCTCTCCAATTACTAGATTGAAAATTGTAAATTTCCAGGTTTCCAAGGACGGTATTGAGATTATATCCACCAAATACATACAGAGCATCAGTCATTTCTATATAAACTGCAGAGTGTGCAGCACGAGGTTGTAAACCCCCTTCAGAATGAGAGAGCCAGTGCCATTTGTTTCCAACTGAATCAAATTCATACAGATTACAAGACTCTCCAGAATAGCCAGAGCGGCAGATACACTGTCCTTGATCACAGTGTCCATGACCTAAGTTCCTTCCACAATTATCAGGGCATAATTTTCTTGAACAGTCATATCCACCCCAGTCAGTTTCACAGGCACACAGATGATCATAACACACACCATGATGAGAACAGTTATTTGGACAGTTGGTTATAGAGAACTCTGCTCTGAAACCATCTAACACATAGTTTGTATCACTATACAATAATACTAACATATGCCCTGAAGTTGCAATAACTTGCTGAGGCTCAGTCTTGCCACTAAAGCTGCCAAGAAGTGGAGAGTTGAAAGAATCTCCATCATATACAAATACATAATCATAAGAGCATTCAGTTCCCATGCTTCGAAAACTTAAAGTTATGAATTTGTGGGCATCATTAGCCTTGATCAGCCATTCACAGTGGCTGTCTTGGGTGTAGTTGGAGCCTACAGGACCATCACTTATGACACCCCAGGAAGTTTGAAAAATTCTGCGGGTTCTGTCACAAGGAACCAACTCGACAGCTGCATATCCAACTACGATCAAGCATATTATTATTTCCGTAAGGGAGTAGTTGATTATTTGGGGTTGCATATTTTCAACCTGTACACTGCACTAATTCAACCTTGAACGATGATCTATCCATTATTGCTTGCGTTGACGACCAATATTATTAACTGCTGGTGATTTACGAGGAAATTTCCGTCCGAAGGGCATTTTCTCTGAATACTGAGAAAAAACAATAATTATTAATATTATTATATTATTATTATGACATAAATTAAAATTGAGAGTATTATGACATTTGATCTTTGATTTGATAATAAATGACATTTGACGACTCTTCAGTATTCAGCAGTGTTACCAACCATATCTATCTTTCTATATATGGCGCATCGCCTACACGATATCCCAACAAAAATGGGACCAAAATGAGAGGTACTTTCTGAATCTATAAGGACGGAAAGTGAAGGATGAAAACAGCCACATTCATATATCTACTACTCATAAAATATGAAACATAGCTGTGCTCAAAGCGGGACCGACTTTTCACCAAATCGACCAATAGGCGTTGATGCCGACGTACGGAAAAAATAATACGAAACTTGGCAAACCAATATGGCTGTTTTCATACTTCACTTTCCGTCCTTATAGATTCAAAAAGTACCTCTCATTTTGGTTCCATTTTTGTTTAGGTATCGTGTCTCAGAGCAAGTCGGCAGCTCACTAGATATTTAGCCGTCATTGCTCAGAGTCTCAGGGCACGGATCCGTTTTGCTACATATCAACATCAACATGTCCGTTTTTCATTCCAACATTTCGTCGTGCGCATGAATCGAAGAGACCATCGAACTGTTGCAAAATTCCGCTGGAATATTGATGGAAATCCATCAAACTGTTAAACTGTTGTAATAAAATGTCTCCATATTTCAATGCGGCCACGTTGGTAGCATTGAAGAGAAAGATGGAAGAGGAGAGAACTCAGACGAATTTTCTTCTCTCTCGTTCAAGGCCACGCATCGTTTCAAATCTATTACATTTAATTTTATTCTATTACATTTTGCTATCAAGATGCAGTACAAATACAAACTGACAGACTTATGACACATAAAAGTCATAAAACGATAACAACGAAATCTCAAATCTCCAAAGTGCTCATTTGCTGCTCATAATAGTTTAGTTTTCAAGTTTTTTGTATATATATTTATTTATCTCGTAAATTGTTCTATCTAGTCACTGATAATTAATTAATAAGCTCTTTTAATAATTCAAAACCTTATTTATAACCATTCTAAATTCATCATTTATGAATATTCTGGAACTTTTATATTCAAAATCAAACAAGTTCTGTCATGTCGAAATTAGTTTCCTCCGAGACCGAGGTTACCTCTGATGAAGATGAAGCTGCCTCTAAAATTGCTGGTGATGATGAGATCCCCAGTATTGAAGAAAATTCTCAATCTCAGCCATTATATGTGGTATCGAAACCATCTGTATCAACTCCTGTTAGTATATTGATTGAATCTTTAATTCAAAATATTTGTACAATCTATGAGAGTGACCAAAAAAAGCAATCTGTAATGTATAAAGTGATTTGTGATAAATTACATAGTATGAATCTTCTTGGAGAAAGTTATAACATGATGGAATTTGAAGGTATCAGGAGTCAATATCAAAGAGCATTTTTACATCTTTTGGCTTCAGTTAAAAGTGGTGATAAATCTATACCAGTTAGTCCAATTTGGCCTAAATTTGCCATCCACTCACATTATCATAGAGAGTTTGATGAAGTGGATTACATTGCAGGTGGAGGATTTGGACAAGTGAGTTGAAGTTCTTATCTCTGATAGAAAATAAAAGATATTTTCCTATTTTAGGTTTACAGAGTTAAACACAAGCTGGATGGAACAGAATATGCTGTGAAAAAAATACCAATAAGATCTGATGGGATCCAATCAGTTAGGAGCTATTTATCTGAAGTGAAAACATTTGCAAGTTTGAATCATCCTAATATTGTTCAGTATAAAGGTGCTTGGCTTGAAATTGGTGCTCCATCTAACAATGAACCAATGATTGATGAAAGTTCAGAAATGCATGAAACAACCCATTCACAGCATCAAATGCATAACACAGAATACATATATCATAAAAAAACCCATTCATTCACAGAAGAAAGGAATGGTGACACCACTGATTTCCAGATTGATTTTGAGCATAGTGTTAGTGGAGCCAGTTCTGTCAAATCAAAGACAAAATCACATTCTCAAAATAGGATAAAAAGGAAGAGTCTTTCTGAAGGTGAAGAAGATAAAGCCTTATGTAACTTGGACATCAAAGAAATTGAAAGAATAAGAGCCACTAATAGGGCAAAAATCAAGTGGGCAACACTTTATATCCAGATGGCTTTGTGCCATTCTACTTTGAAGCAATGGCTGGAGAAAAGAAATGCTGTTAATAATCCAGAAAAGGCAATTGTCCATGTGAATGATCAAGTTATCAGGACAGGTACAATTATTCAAATCCTCACACAGTTGCTCAAGGGTGAGTGCATTAAATTAATTAAATTAATACTAACTGTGGGTTAATGAAGGAAGTGGAAGATTTATTTATCTGAATTTTTGGGTTCTTCTAGTTTTCCTGAATAAAAAGGAATAGCACTGACTTGTTCAGAATTGAAATACAGTTGAAAACATTGATTATCCATGCTCAACAGGACTGGACTAGTCTCTATAACTCCTTTATTTTCTACTTGGAAAAAAATAGCCCTACAGAGAATTTTTTTTTCTTCTACCAGATACATTTCCATCTGAAAAAATATACAGGGAGCAGCAAAAAGTATGATTTTTTAATAGAACACCCAATATATTCCCTCACCATTGGAAAGAGCTTTCCATAAATGCTCCACCCAATATATTTATCTTCTGTATTTCTTGAAATATGGGCTTTCAAAACTTACAAAGTTTGATGAATGTTTAATGATTTTTGAAAGTAAGGGCCAATAATATTGGTTTGCAGTGATCACTGCTAATGAGAATTGAATATCATAGGTAGTGATATAGCAAATATACCTGGATTTGCAATTATTGTTGTTGAAAATAATTCATAAATCCTTCAAACTGTTAGTTTTGAATGTTCATAAATTAAGAAACACAGAAGAGAAATATATTCCCTGGGGTATTTTTGGAAAGCTCTTTGAAATGTCTTTCCAATGAAGTAATATATAGGGTGTTTTATTCAAAATTCATACACTTCTTGCTGTTCCCTGTATATATTTCCAGATAGTGAAAACATACCTTGTGTTTGGAGAAAAAAAATCCCTTGTGAGTCTGTTTTTTATTTTTCATCTACTGTAAATAATAAAATAGTTACGGGGGGGGGTGTTATATGTCATGTCACCCAGTACATATGACATGGTCATTGTCAATTCTGATTCGCATATGTACCCTACCTTGTGGAGCCCATAAAAACGTTGTTGAGCCTGGTATCAGGCTCATCTCAACAATGTAGCGCCCTGTATCTTTTCACTGAGTGGTCAGAATTGAATGAAAAGCGTTTTCTTGCACTTTTGGTCTGGCTCCACAATATACCATTGATATAACTAACATAAAGCGAAAACATCGAGGGTCGCCCTGTAAAGGGCTCTTTTTTGTATATAGGGATATACACTTCAGATTTGTATAAGGGTTGTGGAGCCCACACTCAATTGTATTGTTGTTGAGCCCTAAATTTGACAATGTTGCAATTGTTAGAATTAAGGATACACAATTTGTCCTGGGACCTCTGTATCATGATGATGTGAAATCAGAGCATGAAACTAGCAGGCAAGAAGTTTAAGAAAATTTTTAACAAAACGATCAAAAATCTTGAACAGAAAATCAATATGATTGCAGAAAAAAAATGCTGTTTGTTGATGAGTTTGAAATTAGGTAAAACACTGAAAATGGTTAAAATACTGAAGAATCTTTTATCATCTCATATCTCAGAATGCCTTTGAATTCAACGAATCACCTCGTTTACAACCTAACTTATCAACCAACCTAACTCATCAACAAACCAACTCATCAACTCCCAACACTCAATGAGCCGAATCATCAACGTCTCAACTTAACAATGACCCAACTTTCCAACGGTCAACTCATCAATGGCCCACTCATCAATGGTCAAGTCGTCAACAACCCAACCCAAGACTCAATTCATCAATTACTCAACCATCTACGATCATAAACGATAAAATTCATCAACGACCCAATCTATCAACGATCATCACATCAATCACCATCGACTCACCAGCTTAAACTCATCAATTATCCAACTCATTAACGTTCCACCTCATTAACGTTCCACTTCATTGAAGTTTCACCTTATCAACTACCCTATTTATCTACCGACCCAACTCATCAACGGATCTACTCATCAACGAGTTAACTTTTCAACGACTCATTTCTCTAACAAACTTCCTCATGACCAACTGAACTCATCAAGGAGCCAAATCATCAACGAGCCAAATCATCAACGACTCACCAAAATAACGATTCCCCTATCTCATCGACAGATCAAATCATCGACGACTCAACTAATCAATGACCCAAACCATCAATGACACAATTTATTAATGGCCCCACTCATTAACAATCCACCTCATCAAATGCTTTACCAATCAACCAACCTAATTCCCCACCTCACCTAACTCATCAAAGAACCAAGCCACCAACACCAAATTCATCAACGAGTCGAATTATCAACGACCAAACTTATCAACATCCAATGGTCAACTCATCATCACCCATTAATGATTCAACTCAACAAATCAGTCATCAACCATTCAAAGCATCAATGACGCAACTCATCGACGATCCAATTCATCAACGACTCAACGATCAACACACCAACGACTAAACTCATCAACGGTCAACTGATCAACGACACAATTAACTCATCAACACCCAACACATCAACGAGTCAAATCAACAACGACCCTACCTATCCACTACCCAACTCATCAATAGTAAATTCATCAACCACCAAACTAATTACAATGCTCCTGATTAACTCAACTCATCAACGGTCAACCCAACAAAGGACCAACTCATCAATCAGTCAAATCATCAATGACCTAACTTATCAATGACTCATTTTATTAAAGTTCAATCAACGACCCAACTTATCAATGAGTCAGAGCATCAACGATCCAACTTCGATTCAATTCATCAACGATCTGATTCATTAACGATCCAACTCATCAACGGTCAACTCATCAATGACCCAACTCATGAATGACCCAACTCATCAGCGATCCATCCCATAATCGACCTCTCATCAACTGACATAAATCATCAACGGACCAACTCATCAACACCTAACTCATCAACGTGTCAAACGACCCAATTGTATGGCTCAAGTTGGGAGGATAATTTTCTACTTTTCATTTTCATCTATTTATCTTTGGTTTTCTATAGTCAAATATCCATTGCATTAATACTATAATGATTATTAAATTATTACTTACCAAACCCTCTGCCTACCACTGTTATTCTCTTACCTTCTGAATAATGAAACACTATCAAAATGAAATAAAACTGTAGATTTGGATTGTTGGTCAATAATTTGATGTAATGGTTAAATGCTCGGTTAAATGGTTATTAAATAGGTATCTCTTTGAGCGTTATTTGGCGTCGATGAAATGGTTGTGTTGGTGAGTTTGGTCGATGAGTGTAGTTTGGTAGTTATCAAGTTAGATAGTTGATGAGTTGGGTCGTTGACGAGGTGGGTGTTAATGAAATGGGTTCGTTGATGAGTTGAGTACGTTGAAATGAGAGTTAGTGAGTTGTCTGTTGATGAGCTGGTGTTCAATTCCATACTTCTTCACTCGACTACAAAATTGATAAAACTATATCCAAAAGTAATGCAAGCATAATAATGTACCAGTACCTTTTTGTATTCTCCGCAATTCCTGTTTCATCATTGCGGCCATAATTTCATCTCTGAAGCTCATTAGAGTGAGGTTAATATAATACAGATATGTTTTAACATCACCTAATCATGGCAACACTGCAAGGACAGACTAGAACCGGTTCTTATAAATTCTTGTATAATTGGGCTCCACTATGTATAGTAGCGAAACTAACATTGGCTCAACAAAGTGCGAAAAACAACACCACACAGGATCAAACAGAATTATGTGTTGTTGATTGTAATATGTGACATCACTCTAAAATCTATGTTATAATATGACACAATCCAGTGTATAAGAAAACAAGAATAAGTGTTGTTGAAATCAGTTGAATCTTGAGAGCAGTCAATATTGGAACAAGTGAATATTCGTTTTTTCCCAAAAATCTTTGTAAGTATTCGGAATTTAAAAACGTCATTTTGTTAGGCACTAAATTGCGCAATTTTGCCTCCATGTAGCTCTTACCGTTCCGAGATCCCCATGCATCTACTCGAATTTCACTCACCTGGTATTATTATTATCAACCTCTATCAATCCTTAGAGGTAACCAATATTTTTTCTACTAGGAAAAATCCGAATACTCAAAGTGGAATGCAAAGGTCACAAAGAGAGAAAGTCATTAATACAATAGTTCATAGAATGAACGAAAATTGTAGATAACTAGAGGAAAAAACAACTACTTTCCTGGCTATATGCCACGCAGAACATTGTATTTCATCCTCCCGAAATCTATGCAATAATTCGTATAGACGAATAAAATCGCAAGTGTTTTCTTCCTAAACGCCGAGCTGCGCCTAAGTGGTTCAGGAACGCGTGACTACCTGCAGACCAGTTTCGAGCTGTTGGCTCTCATCACTGCAGGGCTGTCCCAGATAGATTCTTGACCGCTATCTGGTGCGAACCTGACTCAACCAAAACGCATGTCAGCATTTATACCCCACGAGGCGTTCAACGTCCGCGAAATGAACGCGAACGCCGAACGCCACCTGGCAAGGAAAGAAACACTCCAAAACAAGATCCCATTTCAGGTGAAATGGCAGCGGCTGGTTGCCCGACTGGCTCATTTTCAACTAGGAAAAGGCCAAATACTCAAAGTGGAATGCAAAGGTGGATGCAGGATGAAGGAGAATGTAATCCAATTTTCTGCATGGCATATAGCCAGGAAAGTAGTTGTTTTTCTCTCGTTATCTGCCATTTTCGTTAATTTTAGGAACTATTGTGGCAATGACTTTGAGTTTCTCTCTTTGTGAATATTTTATATGTTGAAGATCAAAGACAGTCTGACAACTCTGGAATCATATAGCAAAACAATTAAGTTACCTGCTTTTCTGATATGTCATAGTTTCATTTATAATACTGAGCAGTTGCCAAATTTAAATGGTGAAAGAAGGAAACCATCAATACAAGCTTTCATAAGAAATTGGTACTTTGAGTAAAGTTGCAGTTATCTTTTTTATGACCTTGCCATTTGGTATACATAAATTATTCATCTTCTTATAGTAAAGATTTTTTTCAAATGGGCTATAATGAAGATATTTCTACTGTTCAGTTCATTACTGAGATTTTCTAATCACACCAGCTATATCCCTGAAGTCATTTTGTTTTCAGGTTTGGAATATATTCATTCGAAAGGAATAGTCCATCATGACATTAAACCTAGTAACATTTTTATCCAAATTGAGAACAATAGTATTTTGATTCAGTTGGGAGATTTTGGACTGGCTTGTCCTTTGCAAAGTGTTAAACATAGTTTAGCATTTGGTACTAAACTTTATTCTGCCCCTGAACAACTTGCTGGAAAATGTAACCCAAAGGTAAGTTAGATATTGGTAGGATTACTCATAATCATTATTATTTAGCGTGTTTTGCCAATTATAGTTTATAAAACTTTAGGTTTTACCGCATATTCAGAATATTCATTCATCAGCAGTTTTGCTGGATTGGAAGCTCAGCAATTTCAACACAAATTCCTACAATTCTTTGAAAACAAATACCCCCAGCATTTTTTAATTTACAATTTTGAATTATCAACTGAGTTTTTATTGTCACTAAAAAAGGACTAACATATTTTGATTTTGCACCAAGGGCCGGATTGTCGAATTAATTCCTATAGGTATTCAAACTGCAGTCTCACAAATAGGTGCGTTTTATTGGCAAGATTCTTACACCGGAATGACAATTCATGTCGTTTTATTGAACGAAATTCTGAAACTGGTTTCAACTTTTCATTCCGTCTTCTCATGCGGAATGACAGGAAGACGATTGTGGAGGGAGTATATAAAATGGCGGAAATGGTGGTATTCTATATAATCTAACCTCAAAATCTGACCTAAAATTGCCGTAAAGTGAACTCGCCTCAGGAAATATTTTGGAATTATTCTCAATTCTACCCAGAATACTTTCAAAAACTTATGGACTCATCCTGAAATTACTTCTGAATGTTCAAAAATACATTTGCGGTATCACTTGATGAACAGCAAAATCCCGAAATTATCCTAAAAAAGATCAGCTGAATGTCACAACTTTCAAATATGAATCACATCGTTTTATTGGTCGTCACTTCTACTGCCACCAGTAGGAAACCAAAAAAACGCAACTTCTAATGTACTCTAGTAACATGTTTTTGTCTCTTATATAATATTGTATTCCAATTATTCGTGAATTGGGCCCCAGTTCCCTCTACTGAGACGTGAGATCAAGGTTGGTATAACTGATGGTTTACTTCTTATTGTTTTATTTTACCTCTTCTTCTCTGCTAATGTACAAATTTCAGTCTAACCATATCTCAAGTTTTTATATTTGATCTATAGTAGAAGTCCATGGTATCTTAAAGTGAAGTAAATTGATGAGGTGGGGATGACTGGGAGTTTTTCTACTACTTTTTTTTCATTTTCTTCAGGGCTATACACAAAAATGTTGGGATTTTCAAATTTCTCAATATTTTTGCAAGTGCGCACAATGTGTATTTAATGGTATAACAATTGATAATAACGAGGGATTATAGTATTTTCGAAGTCAATTGAAATATCGAAAATAGTTATATATTATACAAGGGAAAAAAGTAGTAGATTTTAGCTCCAGGTTGTGTTGTGAGCCAAAAAACCGTGAGCTAAAATCTAATATTTTTCCTGTGTATAATACACAATTTTTTTCTGTGACAGAAGAAAGAACGAATCAATATTAGGAAGATATTACATTATTTTGAAATCTGAAAATTATCGACAGATTTTTAACAGTAGGGAACTGCGTTGTAGGCATCTTCATCATTCTTTTGAAGAAATCTAATATCTGATGTCACTTCTGTCAGTCACTATTCAAGTGATGATCCTATTAAAGAAATGAAAAAAAAAATAGTCCACTCGCCTATTGCCTATGCATATTCTGATCTGCTTTTTATTAAGAAGGAAGTTGAAGATTTGATTTTTCTTTCTTTTCAGTTTCATCATTTTTAATCTGATTTGAAAAAATAGCAATTATCAAGTATTTTTTATACCTACCTATTTTTTCGATTTTTTTTTTCAAAAATAGGAGTCATTTCAAGTTGTTCTTTTCCACTTTAAGAGACAGAATATGTATTCGTCTAGGCCACAATTGTTGTATACCGGGACACCGATACAATGGATCCTTATTGCTTGAGCCGCGCTCATTCGTCAAACTTCAACTATCAAATGCGCCAAAATGGTACGTTTGACAAAAAATAATGTAGAGACCAAAACCTTGAAGAATTTTTTAGTGATCCTTTTAGTAGTGATTAGTATTTCAAATAAAGTTGATAGTTTTTAAGTTATTGGTGAAAAAACTAGGAAAAATGTATATTTTTTCAAGTTTTTCGGCTATACTCAAATTCCAGGAAACAATTTTGGTGGCAAACCTCAGATTTAAAAAAAATTTGTTCTAAAATTTGTTCTATCCGTCATTCGGTTGCCCCCTTACGAACAACCCTCAAAAGTCTTCGAAAGTCTTGTGCGAGCAAGGAATGACGGGGGCCTTACCTTTTAACGTGTGATCCCAATCACTTTCTTGGGCCATCAGAAAAATTTCTGCAGTCGACGGGGGGATTCATGATCAGCATCCTTGAAAACATACTATATCAAAAATGCAAAACTACACCAGAATTTGTTTTAAAGGAGCTACCTAATGACTGGCCTATTTGGAAGGTTACAGGGAACAAAGATGCTGAAAATTCCAACTTACTTTCGTCGTACTGTAAAGAGTAATTTTTTATATTTCATTCGGGATAATATTAGAAACCACGTCATTCATTGCCAGACACGTTACCATGGTATTTTTCCAATCTTGCTGGAAAATAGCTAGAGTCCAACCAATTCCCAAAAATGGAAACAAGAGCTTGTCCAACAACTATAGGCCAATTTCCCTGTTATCGGTCATCTTCAGTGATAAAGTAAACCATCAACATTGAGCCCATCAAATATATGGAAAGCTCAGGAATCATTAATGATAGACAATATGGCTTTCGCTATCGATGATCAACTGGAGATTCACTTGCATACGTCACCCCATATATGGCAAACTTCATTAGAAAGACATGGGGAATCTCTGGCTGTAGTGCTAGATATATCGAAGGCATTCGACCGTGTCATCAAGGACTGCTCAGCAAACTACTATCATACAGCTTACCACCTCAGCTATGCCATCTTTTATCGAGTTTTCTTTCAGGCAGATCGCTTCATGTGATGGTGGACAGAGTATCGTCTGATACCATTGCCATCAATTCCGGCGTTCCACAAGGATCGATTTTGGCACCAACATTGTTCCTACTTCATATCAACGATCTATTGGCAGCAACCACTTGTCCTATCCACAGCTTTGCGGGCGATATTTTCTAAAATTCCCATTTCTTCCCCCTACTTCATATCAACGATCTATTGACAGCAAACACTTGCCCTATCCACAGCTCTGCAGACGATAGTACTCTTCATTCTGCGTTCTCTTCTAGAATTATCATTTCTTCCCCCTACTTCATATCAACGATCTATTGGCAGCAACAACTTGCCTATCCACAGCTTTGCGGACGATAGTACTCTCCATACTACGTTCTCTTCTAGAATTCTCATTTCTTCCCAGGACTGTAAGAACTTACGACGAAGGCCAATGAAGATTTTGCGCAAATCGCAGCCTGGGAACGAACAAACTAGTTGAATCCAACGCCACCAAAACTATATCTATGCTTGGTATTACCATCAGCAATACTCTCTCATGGAAAAATCACGTCCGATCCATCGCAAAAGCTGCTTCACAAAAACTTGTTCCGTGCGAAAATCTACTTTACACCTCAACAGCTTCTACAAAGCACAGATACGGCCAGTTTTAGAATACTGTTGTCATGTATTGGGTTAAGCAAACATACACTGATGCTCTTAGATGCCATCAGGAGAAGAGCCATTCTCCTGGTGGGTGATGCCACACTCACCAAGTCATTGACCCCATTAGAACACCGTAGAAAAGTCGGCGACCTCTCACTTTTCTATAGATACTTCCACGGAAAATGTTCATCAGAAATTTCTGCTATACTTCCATCACTAGCGATACCAACTAGACGAACTCGACAGACCCAGTCAGCACGTCTCTTCGTCGTCAACCTTGAAAAATGTCGAACAACACTCTACCAAAACACGTTCGCCTGTAGAACGGCGATGCTTTGGAATTCTTTGCCAATTGAAGTATTCTCAGGAACTTATTATAACCTCCAAAAGTAAAAAAAAAATCCAATACCTACCTCCTCTCCCCATCCCCTGAGATAGTAGTAGTAGAATATTTCATGAAAAATTAAGACAAATCGAAGAAGTTATGACCAAAAGATGTTTTTACCAAGTCCCATAATTTACCCTATACAGGGTGATCCACGGTGGATGGCCTATTAGAAGTATCTGGAGAACGAAAAGACAGAACATTCTGAAAATTGGGATGCTTTGATAATTGAACATTCTCTATCCGTCTAAAATATTTTCACCGATACAGTGTTGACACTTCTATCAGAAACAACTAGCAACTTCATTATTTTAGATGGAGCATCCTGTATTTCATTGCATTTTTAGATTCTTCCTGAAGAGCTGATTCCATCAATGCATCACACTTGGGGTCTAGCAGGAATGATTACAGAGATATAGGGTGTTCAAAATCGAGATTTTTCAATGTTAGGAATTTTTTTATGTCGAAACTATTCATTATCGATCAAAACGGCTTGCATGTCCCCATCTCAAATTTCGATTCACTATCTAATGACATTTAATTGCAGGGTGATCAGAATTCTGAATCTTGAAGCACCCTGTATTTTTTCCAATTTAATTCAAGTAGATAGTGAATGAAAAGCTAAGATAGGGACATGTAAGCCATTTTGATCGATAATGAATAGTTTAGACACAAAAAAATACTAAAATTGAAAAATCTCGATTTTGAACACCCTATATCTCTGTAATCATTCCTGCTAGACCCCCAGTGTGATACATTGATGAAATCAGCTCTTCAGGAAGAATTAAAAAATGCAATAAAATATAGGGTGTTCCATTTGAAATAACAAAGTTGCTAGTTGTTTCTGATAGAAGTGGCAACACTGTATCGATGAAAATATTTTAGACGGATAGAAAATATTCAATTATCAGAGTTTCCCAATTTTCAGAATGTTCTGTCTCCTCGTTCTCCAGATACTTTTAATAGGCCATCCACCGTGGATCACCTTGTATATTATTCATAAGGTATTCCCCTCAGGGGCATCTATTCGTGGTAGGAGTATGTACAGTTCCTCATGACTCACCCTGTATAACATGATAAAAACTTTTCAGTTATCGGTCTACGATCGTTCTACGATATCAGATGTTATTTCGCGGCCATTATCTAGACTGAGAAATTTCCTCAATATTTTTATCGATACTTCGATTCTAATCTTATTATGCATATTAAATCTGTCTGTCTGTATTGTGTATACCTATAGTGTATCTTATTTTTATAAGTTCTATAATTATCATTATTTAAATCCATTTCAAGCTTTGTTTATGAGATCTGTGTTATTTTGATAATAAAGTATATCTTGATTGATTGTCGGCTTGATATAAATAAAATGAACGATACTTCACGCGGTCTGTTGGCATTTCATCCTCCGGAAAATGGTTTACAAACTCCCTTCTGACATCACATTTCATATGTATATAAATTTTCATGTTGAGCCGCTCTCCCCCAAATATGTCTCCCTGATCGCATAGGCAATTCGCACTTTGGTCTTCCATCAGAAAAAATTGACTGTATCAAATGACGTTGAAATTCATGTAGCCAACTCTGTGTATATCATATTCGGGATAAAGAAATTTGAATATATTGAAAATATCGAAATCAATTGAAAAATACACTGAATCGAATTCGGGGTGATTTTCAGTAGGTTGTATCGGGTTGTATGATATTTGATAGTAGTTCAATTCGAATTCACTACTCCAAAGAGCTTGACTTTTCATACAAGCCAAATTTATTAAACATTTTTTGTACTTTTATAACTCTGATATCTTCGGATCTATTGGTCCCTAGGACCTCGATATACTTTTTTTTTCAAATGTGTTTTATTCTTTTCAGAGCGACATGTACTCATTGGGAATCGTTCTCTTTGAATTGGTAGAGAACTTCAGAACTGATATGGAACGGGTTCATTACTTGACTGATTTACGTAAAGGTCAAATACCTCGAGATATCCTGCTGAAGTATCCTGATATTTCTCAAATGATTGAAAGATTGATGATCAAGAATCCTGATGAGAGGCCCGATACAACGACTATGCTGAACAATTTGAAATCTACAGAAAGTGAAGAAATAGAACAGTTAAGGTTACAGCTTGTCGAGAAAGATGAGGAGATTGTGCATTTAAAAGAGCTACTTAAATCTCATGGTATAAAGAGTGTGTAGGTTTGATATTGTACCTATTATTCCAGTAAGTATTGCATGGAACAAACCGAATGGTATTTTGTATTTTCAGATCTGCAGTTGTTTTTACATGCGATAATGATTGATTAATAGATAGATAATTGAAGATCTGGCATATGTTATCAGTCTACCAAAACATTGACATTTATTTGAGCTGATTATTTTATAATACGGATGTCAAAGTTTTGGGTTGATACAAATGTTATTCTTTAATTGCTCAATTTCCTCATGTGTTCAGTTTGATATTTGTTGATGATTGTAGCCATTTTATTGAGATTCCAACATGAAAATTGCCAGTTCTAAACATCTCTATAGTTATTGAGTCAACTTCAGGCTGATCCATATATCACAATTGATGAAATTTGTGTTCGATCCCAATATTTTGAATTACAAATTCAATTCAGATCTAGCAGGATCAATCAAGACTACAGTTGACATTCGACAATTTCTCAGTAATTACCTATTTATTATTTGTGTCAGATTAAATTAGGTGACTGAAATGATGATTGTTATTTCCATTGTTATTAGATAGGCCTTGACATAGAAAATGTACTTTTTGCATTTTTTACTTGTTATTAGATATAAGAAATCAAAAGTGATATTTTCTGTGAAAATTATATTTATTAAAGATTTTTTGTTAAAAAACATCGAAGAAAACATGTTTTATTTGAACTTCAGAACTTCATGCTGATAGCTGCATTTACAACATCATTATCCCATCCTTAGAAAATGAATTTAGTTCACCCTGAATTATTGTTCCTCAATTCTGGGTGTGAAGAAACATTTCAAATTTCCATGGGTCATGACTCATTGAGCCCTTTTTATTAGAACCTAGTATATGTATCAATTAATAATTGAAATATATAATTCAACTAGTTGACCCTGGCAAACGTTGTTTTGCCATAAACATTATTTCTAAAAAATACTTTTTTAGTTGAATATTTATCAACACACTTTTATTATTTAGTTTCCTACTTCTTTTTAGTAACCTATAAAAGCGTGTTTCATTAGTTTTTCAAAGTCATTTTTTTTTTTTTTTATCGATTGGAGCGCACGAGAGGGAATCCCTATAATGTTCAAAGAACATCGTGCGTTCCTAGGGAGGATAGGGATAGGAGGTAGGTATTGGAATTCTTTTTGAACTTCTGGAGATTATATGTTGTTGGGAATACTTCCTCAGGCAATGAATTCCAGAGCCCAGCCGTTCTATGGATGAAGGAGTTTTGATAAAGTGCTGTTCGGCATCTTTCGAGGTTGACAACGAAGGGATGTGCTGACTGGGCTTGTCTAGTTCGTCTGACTGGTATTGCTAGTGAAGGGATGATAGCAGAGATTTCCGAAGAACATTTCCCGTGGAAGTATCGATAGAAAAGTGAAAGGTCGCCGACCTTTCTACGGTGTTCCAATGATGTCAAAGAGCGAGTGAGTGTGGCGTCACCCACCAGGCGGATGGCTCTTCTCTGGATGGAATCTAAGAGCATCAGCGTATGTTTCGGTGCTGAACCCCATATGTGGGAACAGTATTCTAGAACAGGCCGTATCTGCGTCTTGTAGATAATGAGGAGCTGTTGAGGTGTAAAGTAGCATTTCGCACGGAACAAGAATCCGAGTTTTTGTGAAGCAGCTTTTGCGATGGATCTGACATGATTATCCCATGAAAGAGTGTTGCTGATGGAAATACCGAGCATAGATATGGTGGGTTTGGTGAGGATGGTGGTGCCAGACATTACAATGTCGGGCATAGTGAGTTCCGCCTTTCTAGAGAAAATACAGGCTTGAGTTTTGGTGGCGTTGAATTCAACTAGGTTGTTGGTTCCCCAGGCTGTGATTTCAGCAAGGTCTTCATTGACAGCATTGACCTGCCTGCGCCGTGTGTTCTTAGTTTCCTGGGAAGAAATAGGAATTCTGGAAGAGAACGCTGTATGGAGGGTACTATCATCTGCAAAGCTGTGGATGGGGCAAGTTGTTACTCCCAACAGATCATTGATATGAAGAAGGAATAATGTTGGTGCCAAAATTGATCCTTGTGGAACGCCGGAATTGATGCCAATTGTATCAGACGATACACCGTCCACCACTACATGAAGCGATCTGCCTGAAAGAAAACTCGATAAGAGATGGCATAGCTGAGGTGGTAAACCGTATGATGGTAGTTTGTGGAGGAGTCCTTCGTGCCAAACACGGTCAAATGCTTTCGATATGTCCAAAGCGACAGCTAGAGATTCCCCGTGTTTTTCTAATGAAGCTTGCCATAAATGGGTGACGTAGGCAAGTAGATCTCCAGTAGATCTTCGGTGGCGAAAGCCGTATTGTCTATCATTGATGATTCCCGAGCTCTCCAGATATTTGATGAGCTCAATGTTGATGGCTTTCTCCATAACTTTGGAGATTACTGATAACAGGGCAATGGGCCTGTAGTTGTTGGGCAGGTTCTTGTTCCCTTTTTTGGGGATTGGTTGGACTCTAGCTGTCTTCCAGCATGATGGAAAAATACCCGTCCTGTACGAGACGGTAAACAACTTGCAGAGAATCGGTGTTAATTCTGGTGCACATTTTTTGAGGATAATGGGTGGAATTCCATCAGGACCGTTAGCCTTATTCGTTTTGAGACCAAGCAAAATTCGTCTGATAGTGCGTTGACGGAAGACGATTTCGGGCATTCGACCCTCAAGGGGTGGAATGTCTGGCGGCACTTTTCCTTGGGAATCTAAAGTAGAGTTTGCTGCGAAAATCTCTGCAAACATATTTGCTTTCTCCTGCGATGTTGTTGCTAATGTGCCGTCGGATTTGGACAGTGGTGGAAATGAACTATTAGTGAAATTTCTTCCGACCGCTTTAGCAAGGGACCAAAACGAACGGGAGCCATTGGGACAGACTATGAGTTTCGATCTTATCTTGGCATTGTATGTTTCTTTCGAAGCATCTATTGTTTGGCTGCAGTTATTTCTGGCATCAACGTATTCTGCTCTAGTCGCGAGGTTAGGGTTTTTGCGCCAGCGATGGTAGGCTGTTTGTTTCAAGGCAACAGTTCTAGTACAGTTTTTGTTGAACCAGGGTTTCGATGGTGATGATCTTTTTGAAGAATGGGGTATGTATGTGTCCATTCCGAGCATGATGATCTCGGATATTTCCGCAGCACACTGTGAAGGGTCCTCAGAGTCAAAGCATACTCTATGCCAAGGAAACTCGGAGAAAAACATGCGGAGACCGTCCCAATCTCCTGAATTGTAGTGCCATATACGACGTGGGGGTGCCGGATCAGTTGATGGAATGAAAAATGGGCAGGTTGTGGAGATGAGTGTGTGGTCAGAATTGCCAAGTGGAGCTCGTACATCTATGGTGTAGGGTTCTGAATTATTAGTGAGGAATAAGTCAAGTATGTTAGCTGAATGGTTATTGGCATCAGGAATTCGTGTGGGTTCTTTGATAAGCTGCTCTAAGCCGTGAGTGATGGCAAAAGCTTCGGCTTGTCGCCCAGCTTCATCCGTTCTGTTAGAGTGTACGAGCCAAGCAGTGTTGTGTACATTGAAATCGCCCATGATGATGATTTCTGCTGCTGGATGATTCTGTTGAATTTGGTCAAGCTTCAGAGACAAGAATTCGAAGAGCTCTTCATAGGATGGATCATTTGGTGATAAGTAGAGACAACAAAGGTATTTGGTCTGTTTCTTGCTATCGAGCTTGAACCACATGACATCAAACTTATTTGGTTCCAAAGTTTTTCTCGTTGACATGAGAGATTCGTTTTGGAGTAGAGGCAGAGACCTCCCTTGAATCTGAAACGTGTGTGGAGTTCGTACCCAGGACAGAGCAGATAGGTCGTATTGGTGGATGAATTGACCTGTGTCTCAGTAAGAGAGCTCGTTCGCCTTATTGGATCCACCATATTGAATTTCCCAATTTTGAAGGAAAAAATCATAACCTCCGGCCCCGAAAACCCCCAGATACAAATTTTAAATGGAATCGGATTATAATTACAAAATTCTTCCGCCTTATTGGATCCGCCATCTTCAATTTCCTAATTTTGACGAAAGAATCATAATCTCCGACCCCGATAACCCAAAGATACCAATTTTGAATAGAATCGGATCATACTTACAAAACTCATCTGCCATATATTGGACCCACCCTCTTGAATTTACAAATGTCGATGAAAGAATCATCTCTCCGACCACAAAATCTCCCAGGTACACATTTTGAATAGAATTGATCATAATTACAAAACTCGTTTGCCATATTGGATGCGCCATCTTGAATTTCCAAACATTGACGAAATAGTCATAATCTCCGACTCCGAAAACCTCCAGATACCAATTTTGAATAGAATCGGGCCATAATTAAGAAACTCGTCCGCAATTTTGAATTTTCTAATGTTGACGAAGGAATCATAATCTCCGACCCCGAAAACCCCCATATACCAATTTTAAATTGAAACTGACCATAATTACAAAACTCGTCCGCCATCTTGAATTTACAAATTTTGACGAAAGAATCATAATCTCCGACCCAGAAAACCCCCAAATACCAATTTTGAATAAAATCGGATAACAAAACTCGTCCGCCTTCTTCATTTTTTTTTTTCATGTAAGACCATATTATGCAGTACCAATTCCTTGAGCCTGTCAAAAGTCGGATAGGATTACCGTGTGCAGTATCAATTATTATTATACATGAGTCTTTCAGAAGTCGGTGGAGCGTTAAAGAATTCAAAAAGGCACTATAGTGAACTGATTAGTCCATTGCCAGTGGTGAATGTTGTCTTTTCCTTTTCCTCCTTATGTATGCCGACTTAATTACCATCAGAGCACCCACTCTTCAAATCTCTACCTTTTCAAGTTCATTGAACACATCCAAATTTTCACAAACAAATTCAAAATGAGAATAAAAACAATTAGATTGAGAATTATCATTTTCAAATTCAGAACAAACAGTTTCAAATTGAGAATTAACATACTCAAGTTGATTAACGCAGATAGAATAAGATTGAACTCATTCAATTTGAGAACAAACAACTTCAAAATGAGGAACGAATTGTCACTAACTTGTCAGAATCGTTATAGCAATACTTCATATCATACACATAATTTGAATTGATATGCCTTCCATTAAAAAAAGCGGACAATATGTACTATCTTTATACCTTGTTTTTATGAATAATGGTGATTGGAGGAGACTGGCGGATACATACGGCATGAAAAATCAACGGCATATCGATGAGTGAAGAATCGAGACGAAATAGAAAAATTAAGGAAAGGAGAATAAAGGACAAAAATTACTGAAGAAGATCACAAAATGATTGAACAGTATTCAATTAATGAATATAAATAATTGCGATAGATAAGTATATATAGGTAACCATCAATGTTTAGAGATTCATTCCTGATGCTCAGA